CTTGACCAAAAAATCCGCCGATCCGGCGTGTGAGTTTCTGAGAGCGTGGGCTTGAGCTCGCTCAAGCTTCGCTCTGCCGGGGGGGGGAGACCTCATTTCCAACCTAATTCAGAGCTTCGGGAGTGGGGGGGGGACCTCATTTCCAACCTAATTCAGTGCTTCGCACCCCCTCCCCCTCCAGAGCGAGCCCTCCCCCCCTGCAGAGCGCCCCCCCCCCCCCTCCTCCCTCCTCCCCCTGCAGCCCAGCCCCCCTCCCCCAGAGCGGACCCCCCTCCTGCCCCCCCCCCCGCAGAGCCCCCCCCCCCCCCCTGCACCCCCCCCCTGCAGAGGAGACCCCCCCTGCAGAGCGGACCTCCCCCCTGCAGCCCCCCCCCCTGCAGAGCGGACCCCCCCCCCCCCCCCCTCCCCTGCCCCCCCCCCCCCTGAGCAGAGCAGACCCCCCCCGGCACCCTCTCCCCCTGCAAAGCGGACCCCCCCCTGCAGCCCAGCCCCCCCCCCCCCTGCAGAGCGACCCCCCCCCGTGCAGCCCCCCCCCCTGCAGAGCGGACCCCCCCTCTCCCCTGCAGCCCCTCCCTGTGCCGAGCGGACTCCCCCTGCAGAGCAGACCCCCCCCCTGCAACCCAGCTCCCCCCCGTCGTCGTCGCCGTCGTCGTCGTCGTCGTCGCGTCGTCGTCGTCGTCGTCGTCGTCGTCGTCGTCGTCGTCGTCGTCGTCGTCGTCGTCGTCGTCGTCGTCGTCGTCGTCGTCGTCGTCGTCGTCGTCGTCGTCGTCGTCGTCGTCGTCGTCGTCGTCGTCGTCGTCGTCGTCGTCGTCGTCGTCGTCGTCGTCGTCGTCGTCGTCGTCGTCGTCGTCGTCGTCGTCGTCGTCGTCGTCGTCGTCGTCGTCGTCGCGTCATCGTCGTCGTCGTCGTCGCTCGCGTCGTCGTCGTCGTCGTCATCGCCGTCGTCGTCGTCGTCGTCGTCGTCGTTCGTTGTCGTCGTCGCTCTCGTCGTCGTCGTCGTCGTCGTCGTCGTCGACGTATTCGTTTTCGTCGTCGTTTTCGTCTTCCTCGTCGTCGTTAATTTCCACCCACAAGCACCCGAAGCGCCCCGGATCGGCGGCACTGGCCGGAGGCCACTACAATCAACAAATATCCAGCCGTAGGGACGAGACGCCTTCCGGAGGCCCAAGAGGAGCGAAAAACGCCCAACCAGCTCGATCCTTCGACCTCGACCCTCGATCGACGCCGACGACGACGACGATGACGACGGGCGCGCGGCGCCGCCTCTCGGCGGACGGTTTCGCTATGAA